AAACTATGACAGACTTAGTTTATGATATTCTCGGGTAGCAAGAATACTTTATTAAATAATTATTTAAGTGTAATTATTACCATATAAAGTATACAAACGGATTTAAATACAATAGATCAATACATAACTACACGTAATCTAGTTAATACAGGATTGTGAGACAATCCTTCCAAATGTACCTTTCGAGGTACATATTAAATCCTATCTTTTAGTGTAACCAGAGTCTCCTGGAGGGAAAGCGTGAGATTTGTGAATATATATATTTGGAACTGACAATCTCACACCTAAACTGCTAGCTACAGTTAGGCAGACATGTCTGGGGTGACAAATATCATATCGCCCGACGCCAGAAGAACGTCGTAGAGGTCATCAGTCATATCAAGCATGGTTATACGACTCACAATAGTATAAACTAACCTTTTGTTTACGGGATTTCATTCTTCATTAGTTTTATTTTAATTAATAGAACTACTATACATTATACTGGAGGATTCCACAGGATAAAATGCATGGTTTTGTTTTAATTAATAAAACTAATATACATACTGGTGGTATCCAGGATTTTCCCTCAGAACATTCTATACATACTGGTGATAGCCAGTGTTTTCATACAAAAAGGGGTTTTTCATTCAAAACAGTATTATATAATTTATCTGGTGGTAAACAGGCATTCGAACTAATACTATATGGAATACTGTAACAAACTCACACATTAGAAAATATTGGATTTTCTTGGAAACATATAAACATTTTTACTAATTCTTTAACAGGTTTTCATCACAAAAACATGCTTATGAACTCACCAGCTTTTATGCGGATACTCTCTTTTCAAAATCGCTTGTATTCTCAGGAAATCATTAGACAGGTACCTCAGCAGACTTTTGAGAAGACGGAGCATATAGAGACATGTCTTTATATTTGTTATACTTTTGATGTATATGAATACGAATCAAACAGATGTAACTACTTTTTATATATTCAATGTAATGGTTGTGTTTACCTTGATTACTATGATGCAATTGTTGTGATACTGCATATGACGTTATCCATCCCCGAACGTTTCCGCCGTTTCGGTTTGGGGGTGTGACAAAAATCAAGAGAATTATTTACTTGAATTGGTGTTACAGCCATTACCAATCAACGTAGAGTCCACATCACCGGTTGTGTCCACGTAATCGATGGTATAATAGAACCGAAAATAAAAGTTTTTTGGTCAATTGGATACAATTAAATAGGTATAGTGACTTAAAAAGAAAATAAAATGTTATTGGTTTCCATTTTATGACATTTCGTGAGTGTTGTTTCTAAGCGAAGCCTCGAAGGTCAGGTTATGAGCAAGATCTGAAGCATAGCCTAGAAGAAGAATATCAAGGTGAAGGTTTTGACAAGAAAAGGTTTTGTAGAGCAGTTGAACACCGAAGGACGACCTCGCTTTCAGTGTATTCCTTACTTTTACTTTTGGTGTTTAGAAGCAATCTCAAACTGTAAATATCAGTCCAGCCAGTGGCGAACACACACAGTAATTTATGGAGTAGTGGCACCAATGTTTTTTTCAGTGAACATATACTAGTAGTTTTTAGGGGTGAGCATGGTAAAATAAACAAAAAGTAAGGAGGGATAATTGAACCTAAAACCTCATGAATAAATAGCCAACAGCTTAACCAACAGACCATAAATCTATTTATGCTTATAAGTTACATGATACATATATATACATATGTGGAATTTGTTTGGAAAAATAAATCAAGAAAAATGTATCTACCATGTTTCAAACTAAGAAATTGGGTTTAAATAGCCAGCGCGCTAACCAACTCAACCACCTGATGCTTTTGTTATTAATTTGCAAAACATATTTATATTAGTCGTTGCACCTTAATACAAATATATATATATATATATATATATATATATATAATATATATATATATATATAGAGAGAGAGAGAGAGAGAGAGAGAGATTTTACACTAAGCCGAAATCGAGTAGTGGCTTGGGACCCCGAGGAATTCCCTAAATCCCCCCTTAAGTCCGACCCGGTACTAACTGGGGCCTAAGTATGCTATAAAGGGCCAACTTATGTCGGTGATGTCATATAACTATGAGCCTTAGTTGATAAGAAATTAGGTCAGACCATTGTTGTAATAAATAGATCTCTCAGAATTAGGTCATTCTCTAGTTTTCCTTTGAGCATAACTTAATTACTCTAATGAAGTGAACCATGTTTAATCCTTGTGCTCTTATGTTTCTTTAGTCGCTGCATTATTTTCTTATGTGTTTATCGAAGTCCTTCTGTAACACCCATAATCTAGAAGGCCAATTAAGAAAATATAATCTTCATTTCTAAAGGTCAACTCGTCGACTTTAGGAAAGAAACTCGACGTGTTGGAAAGTTGGGCCGCGTGTTTTTGGAAGACCAAATCGACGAATTGGGAAGGATCAAATCGATGAGTTGGACGGGGTTTGGGAAACCCTAAAATCAGGACTTTGCACCCTATTTAAACAACTTAAGCCCTAGGGTTTGGCATCATTTCCAGCATCCACTGTCCAAAACCCTAATCTTAAAACCCTAAGCCATTTTTGATAATTGTGAGCTAATCTTGTGCATTCTTGGTGAGTTTGAAGAAGAAACTTGAAGGAGGAGCAAGAACGTGTGGAAGGAGAGTAGATCCAGAAGTTGGGCTTCATTTCTTATTCATCTGAGGTATAAAGCTTCAACCTTGTCCATGGCATACTTAGATCTAGTTTTAGGATGCTTCTCTCATATTTTGGTCCAAGTATGTTGATGCTTGGGATTTGGACGTCCCATTTGGGAAAACCCTTCAGATCTAGGTTCTTCAGGGGACTTTATGGCATAAAGGTGTCAACTTTATGGCCATGGAAGTCCCATGCAACCTATAGACCATCATTTTGGTCTTTTAAGCCCTATTAGGTCATGCATGCGAGTAAAGATGGGAGCTTTACATGACCAATTTGTCCCTTGAGTCCGGATCTATGACCTCATGGTCTATCTTGAAGTATTGATGGTCTTTGGAGTTCGATCTAAGTCATTTTTGGGTTAGGGTTTGATTTTATTCTTTTTAGGAAGGGATGAATGGGTAAAGTTGGAAACTTTACCCTTCTAAAAGGTATTTCTATTCTAGATCTAAAGTATTGGGTTCAGATCTGAAGAATAAAGGCTTAATGCATTAAGGAGGAGTAAACAGAATGAAGAACTCGACGAGTTCACGAAGGAACTTGGCGATTTGATATGAGTATGACTCGATTCTGTTAAAAATGAAAGAACTCGACGAGTTGATACGTAGTATCACAATTCTATGGTTTATGGGAACTCGCCGAGTTGAAGGAATAACTCGACGAGTTTAGTCAACTCGGAGCGTTGACTTTGACTTTGACTTGGATGCTGACTTTAACCTTGACTTGACTTTGACCAAGGTTGACCCCTGTAGGGTTATGAAGTACGGAATGGGTTCTAAAGGGTAGTTCCATGTAAGGGTTGGGCCCAATTTGGAAAATTGGGCCAATGATGGGCTTTATGGATTTTTACAGTTTTAGGCCTCTTTGGTCTTGGGCTTGGGCCTTAGTTATGAATATTGTTGGGCCAGGGGTAAAATGGTCATTTTACCCTAAGTATGGATTATGGATCATGGTTGGGAACCAATTTCTAATTGGGTGATATTTTCGTATTGATAGCTCGATGAGTTGCTAGGGTAGCAGCTAAGGATTTCTTGCAGTAAGCTTCAGCATTGCGAGGTGAATTACCTTCCCGATATGAGTGGGTCGAAGGCACCAATGCCAGCCTACTAGTAGTTGTTTATAGTAGACATAATTGTCTTTGTGATAATTGTATGGTATGCCACTATCTGTAGAGATTTATGTGCTTGTATGATATGTATTATGTGGTAGTGGTAGGAGGGGTGAAATAGACCCTGTAGCCGATTGAGATAAACCGGAGGGTAGGTCGGGCACCCAAATATGTCTGACAGTATGCTTATGATATGTTATTATGTGGTAGTGGTAAGAGGGTGGAATAGACCCCGTAACCGGTTGAAATAAACCGGAGGGTAGGTCGGACACCCGATATGCCAGGATAGGTCGAGCACCCAGGTATGCCTGACATGGGTAGGTTGAGCACCCAGGTATGCTCAGCAGGGTAGGTCGGACACCCAGATATGCCTGATAGGGTAGGCGGGCACCCAGATATGTCTGACAGTATGTGATTATGTGGTATGATGGAGGAACTCACTAAGCTTCGTGCTTACGGTTTACAGTTTTGGTTTCAGGTACTTCTTCTTCGAAAGGAAAGGAGCCGGCATGATCGCAACGCATCACACTATGATTTTCCGCATATGAGATCTTTGGGAGTTGTACTCTGATATTGTTTTCTTAGGACATGTTTTGGTTATGGACGTATTGGTTTTGATTATGATTTGGATGAAATTGTTGATGTTCTCAGAATACCGTTTTTATAAATTACTCAATTAAAAATGAAATTTTTAATCATGAATTTTGGGATGTTACACCTTCATCCTAACAATGTATATATGTATACATGTGTTTATGTGTATGAATTTTGGGATGTTACACCACATTCGCTCACTTTAAATTCTTCTGTAGGACCTTCCCAGCTCATCATTACTGACCCATACACACAATGTGAACATTCCTTTTTTTTTTCTTCTTTCTAGATTGTCGTAAGGAATACAATTCAAAGTGTAATACATCTCTTTGTGGAAAAATATGACACTGACTTAACATAAAAGACACAATACAATTCAAAGTGTAATACATTTCTTTGTGGAAAAATATGACACTGACTTAACATAAAAGACACGCCTTATGAAAGTCAAATTTTCTTTGTAGAAAATAGAGAAAATAAAAACAAAAAAGAGTGCTTCTAGTACAATTACGGGCACAGATCACCATTTTTCAAGAAACAAAATGACAAAGAAAATAATGGCATCTTCAAACTTCTTACTTTTCTCTCTAACTCTAGTAATCATTATGCTCTTCCTCTTACAAAATTTTGTGGATGCTTCTTTGGAGGAAGCCCATGCTCTTCTTAAATGGAAAGCAAGCCTTCAAATCCCAAACAACTCCTCCGTGTCTTCATGGCTTCCTCTCCCTATTAATCCCAGTGCATCGGTTCCATGCACTTCTTGGGTTGGAGTGGTTTGCAATGCTGATGGGAACATTCAAAAGTTGAACCTCAGTTCATCTGGATTAAGTGGTACTCTTCACCAATTTTCATTTTCTTTGCTACACAATCTTACACATTTTGATCTCAGTGTAAACAATTTTGTTGGCCCCATCCCATCTGAAATCCGAATTCTGTCCAAACTTGTCTATCTTGATTTAAAAAAGAACAAGTTTTCTGGAGTAATCCCACCTGAGATAGGAAACATGGTCTCACTTAAGCTCCTAAGCCTCTCCTCAAACAATCTATCTGGCTCAATCCTTCATCATTGGGTAGTTTGACATCTTTGAATGTTCTTACATTGCACCAGAATCAACTCTTTGGTTCCATTCCTATTAAACTTGGGAATTTGAAATCTCTCACTAGACTTGTGGTGAGTGAAAATCAACTCAGTGGTTCTATTCCATCATCACTAGCAAACCTAAGCAACCTACGGTTTTTATACCTCTATCACAATAAATTATCTGGTCTCATTCCTACTGAAATTGGGAATTTGAAGTCTCTCATTATTCTTTCGGCAAACACCAATTTCCTTAATGGTTCTATTCCTTCATCACTAGCAAACCTGAGCAACTTACGATATTTGTATCTCTATGAGAATAAATTATCAGGTCTCATTCCTATTGAACTTGGGAATTTGAAGTCTCTCATTGAACTTGAGGTGAGCAACAATCAACTTAGTGGTTCTATTCCTTCATCACTAGCAAACCTGAGCAACCTACAGTATATGCACCTCTATAAGAATAAATTATGTGGTCTCATTCCTATTGAACTTGGAAATTTGAAGTCTCTCACTATTCTTGAGTTGAGCCACAATCAACTTAGTGGTTCTATTCCTTCATCACTAGCAAACCTGAGCAACTTACAATATTTGTATCTCAATGAGAATAAATTAGTTGGGCTCATTCCTATTGAACTTGGAAATTTGAAGAACCTCATGCATCTTGTGGTTAACTACAACCAACTTAGTGGTTCTATTCCTTCATCACTAGGAAACCTAAGCAACCTACAACTTTTGTACCTCTATGAGAATAGACTATCTGGTCCTATTCCTATTGAACTTGGGAATTTGAAGTCTCTCTCTGATCTTGAGGTGAGTGAGAATCAACTTAGTGGTTTTATTCCTTCATCCTTAGGAAACCTCACCAACCTACAGTGGTTGTACCTCAAAGATAATAATTTTTCTGGTCCTATTCCTACAGAACTTGAGAATTTGAAGTCTCTCATTGATCTTGTAGTGAGCCGCAATCAACTTAGTGGTTCTATTCCGTCTTCGTTGGCTGATTTGACATCGATAAATCACCTTTATTTGCAGCAAAATCAGCTCTCTGGTCCTATTCCTATTGAACTTGTTAATTTGAAGTGTCTTATTGATCTTAAGGTGAGCCACTATCAACTTAGTGGTTCCATTCTTCAGGAGTTTGGAAATTTAACTCAACTACAAAGGCTTGATCTGTCTTCGAATCATTTGGTTGGTGAGATTCCAAAGGAGTTTGGGAAGATGAAAAGTATGTTGTATTTATACTTGTCTGATAACCAACTTTCAGGTACCATACCTCTGGAGCTTGGGTTCTATGAGCTCCTTGAAGTACTCGATCTCTCAAGGAATAGACTGAATGGGTCCATACCAAAAAGTATTGGTCAATGGGCTCAAATTCACTACTTGAATCTTAGTAATAACAAGCTCAGTGAGAAAATTCCATCTGAAATAGGTAAGTTAAGGCAACTTACAGAACTTGATTTATCTCACAATTCGCTCATGGAACAGATACCATCTGAAGTTCAAAGTCTACAAAAATTGGAGAAACTAGATCTTTCTCACAATAGACTATCTGGTTCAATTCCTAATGCATTCGCAAATTTGCCACATGGGATTGATATCAACCTGGCGTATAATGAGCTGTCAGGTCTAGTTCCCCGCTATGTTGTCTTTGTAAATGCGTCCATACAACTGTTACAAGGCAATCCAGGTTTGTGTGGAAATGTTACAGGGCTGAAACTTTGTGCAAGTCAAATTATAATGAAGAAAAATCATCCATTTCATCATAGGGTCATTCTTGTAGTTATGCTCCCTCTTCTTGGAGCAGCTTTACTTGGTTTCTTCATGTGTCGCCTCATTGCTTATCAACAACAAAAGAAAAAAGTTCCACAGAAAGGATTGGATGAAGAAAGTGGTGATTACTTCTTCATAAAAAGTTTGGGTGGAAGAGTAGTGTATGATGATATCTTGATGGGAACAAATAATTTTAATGAAGCATATTGTATTGGGACCGGAGGATACGGTATTGTGTACAAAGTCGAGCTAAAACCTAACAATGTGGTAGCTGTCAAGAAACTTCACTCCTCGCCTGAGAATGTTGATCGCAATGGTTTCCTTAATGAGGTACGAGCATTGACGAACATAAGGCATCGAAACATAGTGAAACTCTATGGATACTGCTTCCATGCCCACCACTCATTTTTGATTTATGAATACCTTGAAAAGGGGAGCCTAGGATCAATCTTAAGAAGCGATGTTTTAGTAAAAGAATTGGATTGGTTGAAAAGGGTCAATATTGTAAAGGCTGTAGCTAATGGTTTGGCTTATATGCATCATAATTGCTCACCTCCTATAATTCATAGAGACATTTCCATAGCCAACATCCTTCTTGATTCTGATTATGAGGCACATATTTCTGATTTTGGCACGTCCAAGCTTTTAAAGCTAGACTCATCAAACTGGACCGCAATTGCAGGCACCTATGGTTATATTACGCCAGGTAACTTAACTTTGTGATGTTTTTTCTACATCTTATGAATTATATACAGAAATATGTATGTGTGTTATCCAGTGGGGTTAATACATTTTTTTTTATCTTATGTTTCTTTTGATGTAGAGCTTGCTTATACGATGATCGCAACTGAGAAATGTGATGTGTATAGCTTTGGAGTTGTTGCACTAGAAGTGATCATGGGAAAGCATCCAGGAGAACTCATAACATCTTTACCAACACTGTCTGCTGATTATCTAGTGCCAGAAATTATGGGAGATAGTCGGATACCACCTCCCTCATCACAAGTTCAGAAACAACTTAAGTCGGTACTAAGTCTCTCAAGAGCATGTTTGAAATCCAATCCACATGAAAGACCAACAATGTGTAGAGTTTCAAATATGTTAATGAAGGATCAACTTTGAATTTATATCTCTTGTTTGAAATATATATATATATATATATATATATATATATATATATATATATATTCGGTATATAACAACATACATAGTTTTAACAAAATACAATCAAATATCTCTGCTACCTTTCTTGTATCCTTTATTAGAGCTTATCTTATGCTTTGTATATATTTTTATAGAGTTTTCTAAGTTTAATTTTGCACCACAAACCGTGTAAATGAATATTTTTACCAACTACCTGAAGGTTTCCATATTGAATCTTATTATAGAAAATTATAGTGAAAAATTGAAACTGTTCATTTAAAAACGAAATAAACCTCTTCCATAACCCATAAAAACACATGTAATTGTATACAAGGAAGGTGTCCAAGGAAGATATGAAGCCTATTAGTGGTCTAATAAAAAAAACACATTCGAATACATAAATATTAGGGATGAATCAGGAAATCATAAATAATATGAGTTCAAAAGCAATAGGACAGAGTTAACTATGAAAGAAATTTGTGTTTTTTTAATCAAAATGAAATCAATTTTTATGATTTTATACCTAATATTACATACATGACTGCCATATGTTCAATTTTCCTATATATATATATATATATATATATATATATATATATATATATATATATATATATATATATTATAGAGAGAGAGAGAGAGAGAGAGCTAGATTCAAATGTGGATTAAAATCTATTGTGCGGACGTGTGGACAGTGTTATTCTGTGAGAATGACAAAGAAAATATATTGTTTGATTATGTGAATACGTTCAACCTTACATAACTATTGTCATTATCACTCATTCTCCCTAATTAAATCGTCTATAAGGTTATTATTGAATTTCTTTTATTATTCTCATTCTGTCAGAATGTTTATTGAATCGTATTCTGTAAGAACAAAAATAAGTGAAAAACGACGTGTGAGAACAAAAACGAATAAGAAGTAGTGAGAATCCATGAAAATGACAATAGTTGTGTAAGGTTGAATGTTTTCACATTACTAAACAACTTATTCTCTTAGTAGTTCTCATAGAATAGCATTATGCACACGTCCGCCTAATAGTTGTCTATCCACATTATACCTATATGCATTATCTCAATATGCATTCATTGAATGCCTTCTTATTAAGAAACTTTATGTATTTTGTAGTAGATAAACAATTAAGTCGATGAAGATTGTTATACTTGTAAAAACTAACTAATAGGAACCAGACAATGCTATACAGGCATCTCCCAAACAAGAATTTTGCGTATAGATATATAACCTATGAGGCAGTTTTCAAACTATTTTTGGGAGTTTGATTTTGGAATTGGATGACTTCAACCACCTCTATCCTTTAAAAGTTCACCCGAGTAGTGTTGAGCAAAAACCGAACCGGTTAAAATGGCAAAAAAAAACCACAACAAGCTAAAACCGAGACAAAAGTTGACGGTCCAGTTTTTGATTTTGCGAGACAAAAGTTGACGGTCCAGTTTTTGATTTTGCGAAAAACAAAAATCCAACGGTTTTGTGTGGTTTTCAACAACAACAAACAAAGCCAACCCCCCCCCCCCCCCCCCCCCCCCCCGAACCACATCGAGTGTTAATAAAATAAATATTATTAAAATACTAATAATATATATTATATTTTGTCTTTGACCTATGCTTCAACCCAATCGGTATTCAAAAAAATTCAAACATTGTGTCTTTCCCTTAGTTGAAGACTCCAAGGGCTCAAACCTTAGACCCTTGCACTCGAAGGGCTCTACGACGATGCTACCCTTTTCATTCTCTAGGTATGTTTGTGCTGATTGTTTTCAAACATGTTTCTATTTGCAGACAAAATCAATTATATACATGTTTGTGATTTTAGAATTTCATGATCTATCTGATTTAGTGATATACGGATGGAATCATAAGAATGTTTGATAGACATGTTTGTGTTCTCAAAATTTTATTAGCTCTATTTGTTAGGAATTAACGAGAAAATCACACAAACAAAGACATAATATTTAATATGGTTCAATTGACCTATGTCCACACAAGACAAGAGAGTATTCTTACTCACAAAATTGAAAACAATAGAATAGTACAATTGAAACCCTGACTCCCGGTCGTTATATATATGCAAAAGTATAAACAACCGGGTTTCTTTACGTAAATCCAAACTACTCCAAACACTTATATCGTTGATATTCAATGTCGGGTTTCTTTACTTTGCTCGAATGGATCGATATCCATTCGGGTCGTTAATTCTCAAGTCAAATTTAACAATATCCACCTTGACTTGAATATGCTCCAAACTCTAGAAACCAAGAACCTCACGCTCCCTCTTACCATTTTGCCTAATAAATACTTAACTCCTATGAACATATACTAAGTCCAAGAAAATCTTGAATTTTTCCATGGGCAATCACTTTGTTTTTGCTAACATATCAGGTTCTCCTTGATATCTATATCTTGGATAGAAAACCTTTCTTTTTCAAATCCATGTTGAAATTCAGCTTTACATCAATACGTTTTCTTCTCATGAGACCATATTCTTTGCAAGACACAAAGCACTCTGACTATCACAAAATAAGACATGCTTCTCCACCTTCAACCCAATACTCTAAATTAGACCATGTAACCATATGTATTAATGTATGCCTTTGGTAATTGACATGTACTCTGGTTCAGTTGTAAACAATGAAAGAATTAAGACATGCTTCTCCACTTCAACCCAATACTCTAAATTAGACCATGTAACCATATGTATTAATGTATGCCTTTGGTAATTGACATGTACTCTGGTTCAGTTGTAAACAATGAAAGAATTGTAACCTTGACTTCCAACTTATAACATATCTAAAAAAGGGTAAAAATATAACATCTAAGTGGTCTTCTTTTCATAAGATCACCACCATATCATAGTTTAAATCCTCACTAGTATTCTATTTATTCCAATTACACAAAATGACATGACACTAAAATCCCAAACTATATTCCAAAATTTTCACTCTTTTAGAGATCCACTTGATTTCATTCCAATTAACTCCCTCAATCTTATCAAGTTTGTTTATGTAATAACAACAAAAATGTTTCATTCTTCATCAATGTTTATGTATTTGAATGACAGTTATTAATCACTACCCAATATTACAATCGTATAAAGCACAATGTGAAATTTATTTTACGAAATGTACTTCTTGAAATTTTCAAATTTCGTGGACTTTTGCTAGAGTATTTCTAGCATTCATTTCTATTAAGATCAAACTTACAAAAAATAATAATAATAACAATTTTTTTTTCTCATTGACATTCAAACTATATCTAATGCATGCTAAACATGATGTTATACATATGTCTATTGCAATATATTGCATGATATAAATTCAATTTCAAAACTACTATTCATAAAAAAGTACAATAAAGTCTTCTTATTTTCTCATGGACTAGAAAGCACAAATGAAACGGATGTATAAAATAAGTTAATATAAATATATTTACAGAAAATATCAAGTTTTAAGAACCCGAAAGGACTTTGGTGATATTACTTTGCACAGTTGCAATGGAGTCAACTGCAGATTTTGCCAACCAACTGATTCCAACTTTAACACGATGTTCATCAGTAGGTAACCTGATCAAGTAAGCTAGTTTCCTAGCTGCAAATTTTATCATGAATCAACATGTGAGGGTCAAGGGCAAAACGGTAATATCACAAAAAGTGAAGACTGATTAATTACCAGTATGACCAATAGGACCCTCCAATGTTAGACCCTCGATGAAACTTGGTGTAATTGCTGCATCGTTTCTCCCCAAGACCATCATCTCACCCAAATTCTGAAATCTGTATACAATACAAGTGTAAGAGTAAGAGTAAGATATTTTAACTTTATATTTTAGATATTTCATAAATAATATAAAACGATTTTTTTTTTTTTCAAATTATGATATTGGAATTTTATTGGAAAAGGAAGTAGTATTTAAATTTTGGTATTGAACCTAAATGGCAAAAGAGGACGGTTGTTGATAGCAGCCCAAATGTTCCAACCAGCAAAATCAGCCTGCTGAAATGCAACCTGAAAACAAATTACATGGCGTATTAAATTATCAATAAAACAACATCTGTTGCAGTTTTTTAAGACTATTTTTTTATGATGAGATGATGAGGGCATTCATGTCTTTTCACATACTCAGTCACCTTTTTTGATGGGACAAAAAATTGCAACTTTTATCATGTTGACATCTGTCCATGTCCCACCTTTTGGGAAGAGAGAGAAAATGCAGTTTTTATCTTGTCTCACCTTTTTGGATGAGACAAAAAATTTCAATTTTAATGGACTGGTGTCAACATGATAAAAAATATAGTTTTTTTCAATGTTGACACCTATCCATATCCCACCTTTTTAGATGGGACAAAAAATGCAGACTGTCTCTGTCCCTGTCCCACCTTCTTGAATGGGACAAAAAAATGCAGTTTTTATCATGTTGACACCTGTCCATATCCCATCTTTTTAGATGGGACAAAAAATGCAGACTGTCCCTGTCCCTGTCCCACCTTCTTGGATGGGACAAAAAAAGCAGATTTTATCATGTTAACACCTGTCCCTGTCCCACTTTTTTAGATGGGACAAAAAATGCAGACTGCCCCTGTCTCTGTCCCACCTTCTTGGACGAGACAAGAAAAGCAGTTTTTATCCTGTCGACACTCCACCTTTTTAGATGGGACAAAAAACTGTCCTGTCTCACCTTTTTAGATGAGACAAAAACAGCAGTTTTTATTGTTGAGTTTTTATTGTTGACACCTGTCCATATCCCACCTTTTTAGATGGGACAAAAAATGCAGACTGTCCCTGTCCCTGTCCCACCTTTTTGGATAGGACAAAAAAAAATGCATTTTTTGTCTTATTAACATTATTCCCACAATCCTACCTTTCTAGATGAGAAAAAATATTGCAATTTTTTTTTGTCCCATTGACATCAGTGATCAGTTTCAGTCTCAGTCCCAGTCCAAATACATTGCAATTTTTTTTTGTCCCATTGACATCAGTGATCAGTTTCAATCTCGGTCCCAGTCCAAATACAGTACAACCTTTTCTGTTATATCTACTCTTACGCAACAATCACAATCAGGACCTAATAACTATGCAAAACTCCAACACCATTACCAATTTCTTATCTATAAGTACCTGTGCAGTAGCTGGAAGCACTTTTCCTTTGGAGTCTCTCAAAGTAGAAGAATCACCAACAGCAAAAATACGTGGATGCCCTTTCACTTGAAGGGTTTCATCTGTTTCTGCTTGTCCTCTACCAGTAACAGGAAGCTCAAAAGGCCATCCATTTGGTTCCAATTGAGGAAGTAAAGGTTTATTCCCAACAGTCCATAGAACCAAATCAGCTTCCAAAAGTTGACTTTTTGCACCCTTTTCATTAGCCTGCACCTCAATGATTAATTTTTCAGAATCATTGACTTTTTCTTCAACTTCTGACTTTTCAATAGAGCTTCTGAAATCACCGGATTTTCCTATACGCCGGACAAAATACCCTAGTAGAAGTTCAACTTTCCTCGTGTTGAGAACCTGTAGATAGAAGGGTAAAATGGTCATTTAACCTCTCGTTTAATGTTAATACAAAAATTACTCGAGATAGACGTAACTTTTTGTTTTTTTTTCTCATGAAGTGTTGTCTGGATAAATGATGTTTAAAAGATATTTGAAAAATAAAGGCACAAATGTGAAAAAGAGGTTAAAACAAAATAAATAGAGAGTAAATTTGTAAAAAGTTTGGTATATTGCTATTTCTTGCATTAAACTGTATAACTTAAGCCAACTTGACAAAAAAATTTAGATCTATACTCCAATTAATAAACATTTGGCATTACAAATAGGCAAAGTTGTAGTCAATTTCAAAATTTCCACATAGTTTTTTGTCAAATTGTCGAATTTCGTATAGAACATTTGTCTATTGGTACTTAAAGTTCATGAAAAAAGTCATAAGGGTAATGTATTTAGTAGCCAATTTAAGTTGATTATGAAGATAGAGTCTCTTACTTTCAAAGCAGCTTCCTTATTTCCAGAAGGAGCATTTGGTAAAATTGATGAGTCAACACTGATTGCTTGCACAACTCCTTTACCCTCTAGTCTTTCTGATACTGTTGCCGCCAGTTCAACACCAGAGTAACCAAGTCCAACCACCACCACACGTATCGGATTTTTCTTACCAAAATTCTCACGCTCTAATTTTGTTAATTTCTCATTTACTTTCTGCATCAAGATATGAAAGTAGGATATTATAAATATAATGGAAATATCAATGAAAGTGCATTGATATTTCTTCCATTTAACTCATTTGTTAGAAGTTAGGACTTAGGCTATGTTTGGCCTACTACTGATAGTTGAAAAGCTAGCTGATATATGAAAAGGTAGTTGTTATATAAAAAGCTAGCTGAGAGATGAAAAACTAATTGTTATATAAAAAGTAGCCGATATATGAAAAGCTAGCTGAAAGATGAAAAGCTAGCCGTTATATAAAAAGTAATTGATAGCTGAAAAACTAGTTGTTATATGAAAAGCTAGCTGATATATGAAAAACTAGCTGAGAGATGAAAAGCTAACTGTTATATAAAAAGTAGTTGATAGCTGAAAAGCTAGTTGTTATATGAAAAGCTAGCTGATATATGAAAAGCTAACTGTTATATAAAAAGCTAGTTGAGAGATGAAAAGCTAGTTGTTATATAAAAAGTAGCTGATAGCTAACAAGCTAGCTGTTATATGAAAAGCTAGTTGATATATGAAAAGCTAGTTGTTATATAAAAAGCTAGTTGAGAGATGAAAAACTAGTTGTTATATAAAAAGTAGTTGATAGTTGAAAAGCTAGTTATATAAAAAGCTAGTTGTTATATAAAAAGTAGCTGATAGTTGAAAAGCTAGTTGATATATGAAAAGCTAGTTGTTATATAAAAAGCTAGTTGTTATATAAAAAGTAGCTGATAGTTGAAAAGCTAGTTGATATATGAAAAGCTAGTTGTTATATAAAAAGCTAGTTGTTATATAAAAAGTAGCTGATAGTTGAAAAGCTAGTTGTTATATAAAAAGCTAGCTGATAGCTGAAAAGCTAGCTATTATATAAAAAGCTAGCTGATAGCTGAAAAGCTAGCTATTATATAAAAAGCTAGCTATTATATAAAAAGCTAGCTATTATATAAAAAGCTAGCTGAGAGTGGAAAAGCTAGTTGTTATATGAAAAGCTAGTTGATAGCTGAAAAGCTAAGTGATAAAAAATGACGTTTGGTAAAATTAATTGATAAGGTAGCTGAAAGATACAAAATGTCATAAAAGGGCATTTAAAAGAATATGTTTTCTATGATTAACTAAGGGGTATATTTGGAATTTTTTTAAAAAGCTCATGAAAAGCTAGTTTAAGTAGCTTTTTAAAAAGCTAGCTTATAAGCTACTTTTTGGCTTGCAAAACACAACCTTAATGGGGAAAGCCTCGTTTCCCTTACTTTATCCACTAAGTTGTTTGATCTATATTAAGTCAAAAACAAACACTCATATCATATATAGCTTATACAATTGAGTTTTGTATCTGTTAAGTCCATTAAGTAAAAAAGAAACATAATCTAATTTGATATGTTGAGAAACTTACACAAGCATCATTCAGGGTCGAAAATGGAAATGCAAACTCAACAGCACCTGGTATAACATCAAGTTTAGGTTCAGCTCCTAAAGAAAGTACCAACCTGGCTGCCCAAATACAAAACATAGAATTAGAATGAGAGGATGAGGAGAGTATTTTCGTAATTTACATAAAGAATAGATCAAGAGCTAATCAATGTCCCATCGACATCAGTTTCAGTCTCAATCTGAGTCTGAGTCTAATGCAGGTCAAACACAGTACAACCTGTTCTGTTCTGTTCTGTCATACTCACACTCTAATTACTGAATGTGGGTCCCAAAATTAACTTATTGGGAACTAAAGTAAATTGCTAAATTAAAAAAATACAAAATTCATACCAATCATATTCAATAACAAGACCACTTTCAAGTTGAACAGTTCCTCCACTACCAGATACAGTAGTGGGCCCATTTATTCCCAAATGATCACATGGACTCAGTATTTTCACCCTATCTTTTAAAAATTGAACAGCAGTATTCACAAGCAAATCTGAAAACCTTGGAGCAATTTCCCATGCATCTACTTCTACACTTCAAAAAAATTTATACACCAATTAGTATACAATGATCAAGGACAAGAATTCAAATTTAAAACCATAAAAATGAAGTGTGTAGTTGTGTAATGTATACCTCCTGTTAGAAGCTCATATAACATGGGCTTAAAGACAAAACGCTCAGATTGATCAACAAGTATCACCTGTTTGCATTTTCATGAAGGGTAAAGGTGTCATTATATTGATTCATAACACCATTGCCATGATAATATAAAGGGATTAAAACTTTTTAGCTCATTATGAGTAGCAATTATTTAATTTATATATGATGTGATTCATTATGATTACCTGAGGTTTTTTGTCATCTGGCCATGTTAGTGAATCCAATCTTAAAGCAGTATATAGACCTCCAAATCCTCCACCTAGTATGCACACCCTTGGCCTCTGTAACAAAAAAGAATAAAATGTCAGTTTTGGTAATGATAATAAGCCCTATTTCCTTGACTTTAGTCAAAATGAAACATCCATATACATATACCCTGTTTTTTTTTTTCTAATTAAGTGATGTATGGATAATGATGCATATAAGATATAAGAAGATCAAGAAAGACAATCAGATAAACCTTTTTATCAGGCCATGAATAAAGCGACACAGCTTCTTCTTGAGAAACTTCATTGCTCCCTAAAATTTTCCCCTCAATTGCAGAACTAACAAAACGTAATTGTCTACTCCTTGGTGTACTCGAGAAAAATAACGAATTAGAATGGAATTTAAGCAAAGATGAACCATGGAACAGTTTCCCCAATTGAACGAATGTACCTGAAATACACGTAATAGAAAGGTCGTCAATTTCAATAAAAGAATTTCTCTTTTGGTGATTCGCATTTCAATTTGTAAGTTACTCTTGACGATTACGTATTTGATTAATGTTAAACCTAATTTGAAGTTTCAAATTTGATGGTGAATTCCGTAAGAACTCATTAACTACAAGTGAAATCTGGAACAGACTTCGAAAATCGGAGATTCGTAAAGAAATTTATAGGATTTCTGTAAAGTGCAAGATGGAAAACTTACGGTTAAGAGGAGGGATGACTGCTGAAGCAGATACAGAGGCTGCAGCAGCACTAAGATGCGCCATTAACGTCGAGAGATGAGACCAAGAAGAAGAAGAAGAAGAAGAAGAAGAAGGTGGATTTGGGTGGAGATGTGGTGGTTTCACTTCCACGTTGAGTTCTGGTACTTGTTAGTCTCACAATTGGAAGTTAGAAACTTGAAAGTCACAACACAAATGGTATATGGTACGTGGTTAAATAAATTAAAAATAATAATAATAATATATAACTTTTCATGTGACAAACTCACATATTGATATTCCAAGGGTAGTTATGTAATCTTTGAAGCTTTCCAATCCCTAAAAAGATCAAAATTTGCTAGAAATAAAATCAAAATAAATCTAAGGACATGATTGGAGTGGAAATTAAAAAAAAGATCTTCTGAAAGGTTCATAATTTACACCTAAAAGAAATATAGGGGTGCCAAAGATCACTATCATTTATTTCATTGTGTGAAGTACAAGATGTTAAACATCCTCCCACAACATGTTTCTTGACGAAGTTTTCTATAAGTATCTCCTTCCTTTTCCAATTACACCCCCTTATTTGATTTTTTGTCTTTTAGGTTTTTTTTTTCCTATTTTGTTTTTTTGTTGTTTTTAATTCTTTTTAATTATTATTATTATTTTATTATTATTATTATATTATTATTATTTAATTTGATTATTATTATTCTTTTATTATTATTAGTATAAATTTCACACAAAAAATTTTAACATTCGGAAGACATTATAAATTCCAAACGGCTATATAAATCGGTTTTTAACTATTTTTTTTATATTTTAATTACGGACAAAAAAGTCGTTCGAATTTTATAATGTCGTGCGAATTTATAATGTTTACCGAATTTTAAAATGTCATTTGAATTTAATAGTAATAATATTAAAATATAAAATAAAAACAAAAAAAAAATCAAAAACAAAAAGGAAAAAAAATAATGTCAAATCAAAAGTAAAAATTTGATTTGATTGATGTTAGGGGTAAATTGGTTAACGAAGGTACTTATAGCACAACCCTTCTTGATTTTCATCTTCAGGCAAAAATATTTAACCTGAAATATTTAATGTTGAAGATTCTTTGTAAAATGGTAAAGCAACATGTTGTACCAATTACGCAAATGTCACACCCCCGAACCACACGGCGGAAACGTCTGAGGGCTCGCGTGACTTAAAATGAAATATCATCACAATGAATATATATGAAACATAACACATGCATCACCAACCATTACATAGTACAACTGGCATTGTTTACATCGAGTACAAGGTTTACATTACATGATTTCAAAATATAAAGTGTTTGGTGATTAGCAACTACAAAAGAAACTTTCAACACACCGGATGCTTCCTTGACTAACGATTACCTGAGAATACAAGTTATTTTGAAAACGGTCAACATATATAATGTTGGTGAGTTCATAAGTGTGTTTGATGAAAAGTAGTTTATGTCATTGGTAAAACCCAGAAAATCCGATATTTTCTGTAATAAAACTTCTTGAAAATAGTGTGATGATCCTGTAAGTATATGCGTGAATGATTTCAAAACATGAATAAATGAGAAGTTTTGTTATATTATAATGTTTGAAAGTACAAGTGAGTAAGATTTATTTCCCCGGAAAACCCGATGTCTTCCGAATAAAAGTTATGATTGTTTTGCTTTATTGAATCGTTACATCGAATGAATATGATTTCCATTGATTAATGAACTTCCTTTAATTAATGATTTCCCTTGATTAATGATCCTTCCTTTGATTAATGATTTCCCTTGATTAATGATTTCCCCTGATTAATGATGTCGGATTTCTACGTGAGTCGTTATAACCATGCATTATAATGACTAGTTCGTCTGTCTTAGTATTCTAATGAACACCGAATTTGATCTTAAGACTTTGTCACCCTAGACTGGCCGAGTCTAACTGTAGCGAACAGCTTAGGTGTGGGGGAGTCACCCCCGTATAGATCTATACACAAACTCTCGCTCTCCCTCCAGGAGACTTTGATTACAACTACAGACTACGACCGACACTTATTGGTGTCACCCGTTATTCCTCACTCAATCCACATGAGTTTGATTAACCTTGATTAATGATCGAATTTTATTTTATACAAAAAGAAGGTAATCCTAACAGACGAGGAGAAGAGGACTACTAGGCCCTACTAAATTTCGTATGTTATATAAGGATGTCGAGTATACGAAAAGCGCGTTGGCCCCTCTCGCATTTAATTTACTTGGACCTTACTAGTAATGCATAATGGGCCACTGAGGCCCAATAGCATGTAAAAACCATTGAGGGTCCATTAAACATGTAATTGGGTTATAGGAGGCCCAATAGACATGTTTTATCATTGTTAGGCCCGAAAGTCATGTCAATGGGCCACGAAGGCCCAATAAGCATGATTAGGATCTTTCAAGCCCAACAATTTGAATATTACTTGTTTTAGGTATAGTATAATTGTCGGAAGCTTGATTGAACAATTGTTAATATTAGTAACGGCACGAGGCTTGTCGATTGTTTATAACGATATTTAAAAATATATGTATATTCTTCATTCTATTTTCATAAGTCGTAATTTGGTATTTTTGACCCAAATATCTTAATAATAAAATAATTGATTCAAAATATTGGTCTGACCTATTCAGCCCTTCTACAACAAAAATGACAATCTTAGTCCCTTATAAATTGACAATCTTAAGCCCAAAAATTGGCCCATTAAGCTACAAATCACATTTCTAGTCCTTTGAAGAGCATAATATTCATAAAAACATTTATTTTAACTGTTTTGACTCTTTTGGTCCTTAAGAAAACCGTGAATGACAATTTTTAACCCAACTTTTGTTTATTTGACAAATATAGTCCAAAAATGAGTTTTATGTTGCAATATGTTTATTATAACCTCAGAGGGTAATTTTTCTTGACTGTTTAGTGTAATATATCTTAGATCATGTTTATTTCCTTCTTGTGCCATAGATCTCGAGATTTCTTCCTTTTTGTTACTATTTACCACATAAAACACATGAAATCACACATAACATACACATACACATAGATCTACACATTTTACTTGTATTTCCCCCATAAAACTTGTGAAAACCGAAAATAGAGGGGTATGAACTCACCTTTGCTTGTTGTTTTCGATTTGAAGAAGAAAGGAAGAGTTTGATGCTATTTTCGGCCCTAGCAAGCTTTCTTGGGTTGATTTCGAACTTAAGAAGTTTCTAAGAAGTAGATCACGAAATGGTGTGAGTTAGGAAGAAGTTTTGATGAAATAAAGAGACTAGGTTATGGATCAAACCAATAACTTACCAATGATGATGATTATTATGAATAACCTCCTTGAAGAGCCCTAAACTCTCAAAATTTTGAAGGAGAAGTGAAGAAGTTGTGTGAGTTCTTGAGAGGATTTAGAAGTGAAATAAGTGTGTGTGTGTGTGTTGTGTGTGTTGATACTCTCGGCCGAGAGTAGTAGAAAGGAGAAGAGAGAGAGGTGATGATAGATGGATGCATGGAGTATGTGACTTGATGCATGGATATCCCATGGATAATTATGAAGTGGCACCATGGAAAGTCAACCCTCCCTTATCCCTTCTTTTCTATTTTTTTTTTTTTGTTTTGTTTAACTTGGGCCGAGAGAGGCGAGAGAGAGAGAGAGAGAGAGAGAGAGGAGAAAGAAAATTTGGGCCTTGTGTTAGAGTCCAAAATATGGAGCCCAATTATAGCTTTGGCCCAGCCTTTGGAGGGTTACGGCCCAAATGTGCATGCAAGAATGGATTTGTGGCTTTTTAGGGCTTATTGGATTGTTATGGCCCAATAAGGCCCATTAAAGGTAGCCCAAAAAGGTTAAGTCTTATGATAGTGGGTCCAATTAGAGCCCATTTAAGAGTTCTAAGTCCAAGATAGTCACATTGGAGGTTTATTGGCCCATTAGGCCCAATAAAGAAATCATAGTCCATAATGGACTTAAACCGGGATTTCTAGGGTTTCCAACCTTTTGTTGACTATTTGAGTGTTTTGAATAGAGTGTTTGATGGAATTTGGTTGTCACTGAATAAGCATCATACATTGCTTTCAAGTTTTTAGTTACAATGTTATCCTTGTTCAATGTTTACAAAGCATTAGAATTCCTAGTTGTGACATCATCCCCCCGTTAAAGGGAATTTCGTCCCGAAATTCTTTTTGAAACTAGATTTAAGAATGCGAGAATAAGTGAGGGTACTTTTGCTTCATCTGGTCTTCGCGTTCCCAAGTGAATTCCAGTCCACGCTTTGCGTTCCACCGAACCTTCACTATTGGAATGTGGCTTTGCTTAGTACGCTTCACTTCCCTGTCCATGATTTCGACGGGTTCTTCGATGAACAGGAGATTTTCGTTGATTTTGATTTCTTCTAACGGAATGACGAGAGTTTCGTCGGACAAGCACTTCTTCAAATTGGAAACGTGAAACCCGGGGTGTACACTGCTGAGTTCGGTAGGTAGTTGCAGTCTATAAGCCACTGGACCAATTCGGGCAAGAATCTCGAAGGGTCCAATGTATCGTGGGTTTAGCTTTCCCCGTTTCCCAAAACGGATCACCCCTTCCAGGGGGAGACCTTTAACAACACTCGATCCCCGACTTGAAATTCCAAAGGCTTTCGCCGTTTATCGGCGTAGCTCTTCTGTCGGTCGCGTGATGCTTGAAGTCGAGCTTTGATTTGGGCTATCTTCTCTGTCGTTTCGCGTATGATTTCTGGTCCTGTCAATGCATTGCTAGATGTCTTCCTTCTTTCCAGCTGAGTGTCGCCTACCTCTGCCCAACACAACGGTGATCTACATTTACGACCATATAATGCTTCGAAAGGAGCAACTTTGATGTTTGTGTGATAACTGTTGTTGTATGAAAACTCAATTAAAGGTAAGTGGGTATCCCACGACCTTCCAAAGTCTATCACACATGCTCGAAGCATATCCTCAAGCGTTTGAATGGTTCACTCACTCTGACCATCCGTCTGGGGGTGGTAAGCAGTGCTCATGTCGAGTTGTGTCCCCATAGCCTTCTGTAGTGATTGCCAAAAGCGTGAAGTGAACCTACTATCTCGATCTGAGATGATAGATATTGGCACTCCGTGGAGTCTCACAATTTCCTTGATGTAGATCCTTGTTAGTTGCTCCATCTTGTATATCTCCTTTATTGGCAGGAAATGA